TGGGGGTACAGCTTCGTGCCTAACTTGTCCTGGGCAGTAGTACGATGTCGGGCGCCAATTTAAGTTTTCACCGTCGCCGTCGACCCCATTAAGTCGAACGCCATCGCCCCTCAAAGTGGCCATGTGTAGTCCATCTCTTTACAATTCACCATGCACCCAAATAGCTAGGGTAGTTAGCTTTCAATTGGAGTCATCTCGACGAGCTTCCTTCCTATGGTGAGGTAATGGGGAGAATTTTCCCCTCGGCGGTTTGTCATGGCCGGCGAGGCGAGCGCTCGGCCGGGGCGATGCTCCTTGCTCTTTTGTTTCAATCGAGCAGGGTTGTCGCCTCTCCTTGACTCATTTGCCTCGCCCATGCAGTGGCTGCGCTGACGGAGCAGCAGGGCGCCGGGAACACCTTCACCGTGGCCGGCGTGAACCGGAGCAACCTCGCGCACGTGGCCAGCCCATTGCCGTTCCTCGCGACTTCGCCCAGCCCATCCGTCATGTCTTTGGTGAGGCCCTCTTGCTCCTAGGATAGGCGGTTGAGCCGATTAGGGGCTAGGTCATCCTGGACGCGTTGGCTGCCACCGGCGAGCTAGCTTAGATGTCGTTCCTGTGGTAGCTCAATTGGGTGCGGTAGTGATTCAATTAGGGCTTCGATGTTGTTGCTCTTGGTCTGTAGATGGATACCAGGCAGCGGTAGAGGTGTGGTGTTAGGTGATTTCGCTGGCGTCGGGTTGTCGCGGCCAGACCCCACCATGGCACGTGACCACGCTTTCATGCTGCGCCATTCTTAGCGTTTGTTACCTCGATCTGTTGCGCGTTGCACGTAGAGGCTCATGGTGGTGCTGGTTGGTGCCGGAGAGATATGTGCTCACCGGCGTTTGGCCGATGAGGCCGTAGTGTCTGTTAAGTCCGGCCAGGGGCGTCGCAACGTAAATTAGAAAAGAACTGGGGGGGTTAAGTGCGAGCGTCAGTGAGAGAGTGGAATAGTAGAAGGGACAGCGGATTCATTTAGCTAAAGTATGGGGTCTCTTTTGCATAATTGCTGGTGCGCGCGCGGGTCGCTGTGGTGGGCCGAGCCGCGTCTCGAGTTGGGCCGCGCAGTAGAATACATTTTCAAATTTCCAGTGAAGGATAAACATTTATTCAATTAAGTTTTGAGCTGAACTTTGATAAATTATAGTAAATTCTATAGATGCCCAAATATAGTGAAACTAAGTTTGTTAGATTCACAAAAATGTCATCTACTTGTTAGTGTAGTTAGTTTACTGATATCTAGGATAGTGATATGTTCATAAATCCAAACTAGAGAGCTTAGTATTATGTAGATTAATATTTGTAGAAATTTTTATGGTAAATTGGTGTTAGCTATAGCTATGAAAATTTTATAGTAGACTCACTAGATTATTATGTATTTGCTGTAAATTTTGTAGCCCTAGAGTAAGTTGATAAATAGAGTAGTTGTTATCCTTGTTTTATCGTATATAGATTAAAGCGGTATTAGGAGCAAGAATACCTTAGTTGCTGTAATAATGTATGTCATGCTTCATACTTGTTAGGGGTAACAATAGGTAACTTAGTACCTTAGCAGGTAGCACTAGCTAGTAGTTAGACAGATGTATTTTTATTTTAAGAGTTGATGTTGCCATATTACTAAGTATTTCATCATCATTTCATGCATGTAGATCACGAGTTGGTTGAGTTCGTGCCTGTGGACGAATAGGAGTATGAGGAAGTCATTGAGGAGTACGAGGAGGAGATCCTCATGCAGGAGGGAGCCCCGGAGCCTTTTGGTACTGACCTTGCTGACCCGTTGCCTGCCCAAGGCAAGCCCCGGTGCATAACCCCTATTTTATGATCACTGAATATATATATAATGTGCATTTATGTTACAGGTATTTTATGGAAACTACATGCGTAAATATAGCTACCCAGGAGTCCTACTAGTATAGGTCGAGTAGTTGCTATGCTCGGGATATCAGTAGCGCGAGTAACCTGCCGTTACTCGCAAATAGGTGATAAATATGATCACTCATGGTAAAATGGTGGAAAGGAAAATGGTGACCGGGCAGGGATATGGTTTGGATACTGGTGGGTGTAAAGGGTTGTGTTCTGCGGCCAACGGGGCATAGCTCGGTTACACTTTTTCCCTGTCTGTGTCAATTAAGGACCGGTCGTTGCATATGTCTCTAGGCAAGTCACAGACTTATTATCCCGAGCACATACTTGGGTATGGGCACAGGAAAGACTCGTTGCTCTCTTGTCGTGGATCCGGCTCTTTCCGGACCGACTGATTGGAGGCGGAGATGGTGGAGGTCCTTGCACCGCACTGAGTCCGGGACTCAGGAGTGGGGCTTGGAGTCCAAATTTGGACGGGGATCTGGACACCTAGTACAGGAGGGTGATGGGTTAGTCCTGCTTGTGCCTGGGGTACAAGTGGGGCGTGTGTTTTTAGGGTACCCAGCTGGGGGCATTGATTCGCGAATCGCCGGTGTTCCGGTACGACTTGTCTACGGTTTAGCACTGTAGTAAGAACTGAAAGATGATGAAATGGAACTGATTGCTCAACTCTTGCTTGAAAGTAAAACATGTGCTTATATAGACTGGATAGATAATAACTTAATATGCCTGATAATAATAACATAAATAAGGACTCTTTATTAGTATTTCTTTCTGCCAAAAGAAAACCAGCAAACTAGAAAGCTTATCATATTCCTTAGAGTCGGGAAATTATTCCCACTAGTCGGATAAGTCTCGCGAGTACATTGTGTACTCAGGGTTTATTTACCCCTGTTGTAGGTAATGCATGAGAAGTATCATTGTGTGAAGGATTCTTCAGGTGGGCACAGACGGGATCCTTGCGTACTATCGATAGCTATTTTTCTCGGTGTTTATCTTCATTCCGCTGTTTATTATTCCGCACTCTGACATTTGGTATTGTAATAATGTAATTTCAAGAACTTTGGATGTATGAAATGGATAAGTATTGTAACTCATTCTCATTATTGGATCCTCGAGGAAAAATATGGATCTTTTGGGTTCTCCGTTGGGGTGTGCTCGACGGATACCGCCCGCCGTAGCTTGCTTTCGGGATGCTTAGTGTCTGGTGGAAGACGAGCACCTCCGTAAGCGTGTTAATTCGGACGGTTCTGCCACAATTCTCTCGACCGAGGGGTCGTGAGCCTGAGAGAGGGTCCTAGCTAACTTGGCTTGCAAGCAACGCCATCTTGTGGTGCACGTCCGGGCGTGGTTGTCGTCATGGTCTTGTGCCCACGTCGCTGTAAGGTGTGGCGTGGTGCTATTGTGTCGGCCGTGGCGGCACTGTAGGCACGATGGTGGATCACCAGCCGCCCTACGCAACATGGTTTTCTGTCGTGGCCATCGTCATTGCCTCCTGATCTCCTAAAGGCATCGTACAGGACTTGGTAGCCGTTCCTAGGTCGTCGACCACCGGGTTGGCTTATGGAATTGGTGGCCACGATCCCGAGCTCCTGGGTCGTGGCTCCCGCCGGTTTGGATGGCCTCTAAGTCAAGGCCTCCATCGTGGATCCCATCCCATAGCGGGTAGGATCGTATATGTGTCCCGTTGGACCGTACTTGGACGGTGGGTCGCCGTAGTGGCAGTCACCGCCATGCGGTGTTGTCTTGTCTGTGCTGCATTGCGTAGGGATGGCGTCTATCCGGACCGAAGTGACCACTGTCCCCTCGGTCCTTGTGGGGTCAGTGCGGCATGTCTACTCTTGTCAGAGCGGGCATGTTTGGCTGGGCTCGGACTCTCCCCGTTCCTCCCAGGGGTCGAGACGATGGAGAAGTCATGAGTTTATTGTGCGTTATGCGGCTAAGGTAGAAGGGAGGGGTCGTGGCCGACCCTGGCCTTAGCATCTAGCCTAGCCCGCTTGGCTTAGCTGGGCCTCGATCGTTTGGGCTTTCGCTAGCTGATGTATCACGGGCCGCTCGGCCTGTTGACTAATCGATGCCTTGAGACACCCGGGGATCATGACCCCGACAATGTGTAAAGAAGACAATTGTATATTACTATACCAGTTTTCGAAAAAAAAAATTACCATACCATAATAACATGTCAGGAGAATAAATAAGTATGTAAATCAGACCTAAAAATAGTTAAGCAAATTGACAGAAGTAATCTGTTCCTAAACAAAATAATAAAATGTGTTTTGTTGCTTGGACATGTGGTGGTGCATTTTGTCGTTTCCTGCGGTCCAAACAGCTCAAATTTTTCATTCCCGTGTTTTGAAATCCTACGGTTTTTCAGTTTTCACTCATTGGCATTCCTGCATTTTTTTCCTATTCCTTTGTTTTGCAATCCTTCGTTCCAAACATGCCCTTACATGAACCCGAGGATGGATTACGTCATCGGGAGTAATTGGTGAAAGGGGTTTCACAATCATGCGGCTAAAACAATCGATCATTAGCAGTATTGATTTGGATCATTATCCTAGCTGGTTTACATGACTTCTCTTGTAAACTCAAGCAAAACCAAGGTAACATTGAGAGACTTGATCAATACATCTTAAGATTGATTGATATTTGCCACTGACGTCTTCTTGTCAACATGTACATCGATTACCGCTAATGGAATAATTAGGCGATAGACTACATCATTACATTAATTGAACCCCATGGATGGATTATGTCATTGGCAGCAATTGGTCAAAGGGGTTTCAAAATCGTGCATCTAAAACAATCGATCATTAGTAGTAGTATTGATTTGGATCATTATCCTGGTTTACATGATTTCTCTCTTGCACTCAAGAGAGTCAAGACCAAGTAGCAACGAGAGTTCCACACACTTCTATATGTATGTACGCACATTTTAATTTACTGCTCAGTTACATGGGATGAATAATGTACACCACAGCATTTCTGTATAAAGTAAACATCAAATTATTATTCACCGATCGATCCAACGATGATTATGCACAGCACAGATAACTGAAACCAGCTGGCGCTGCTGATGATATATACGTATACGTATATATAGCTAGCTCAGTAGCTTAGCTGGTGGACGAGCCAGCAGCGGCACTGCAGCCGCCGCCGCCGGCGGCGGCTTTGGTCTGCAGGGACTCAAGCTGCGCCTTGCCGGCCAAACCGCGTTGCCGGATGAAAACGCGGTACTCGTCGAAGGTCATCTCCGGGTACAGCGCCGGGAGGTCGGGCCCCACCAGCTCCGCCATCGGCGCGATGGGCAGGTCGCTTCGCGGGTTGTAGAAGAAAGCCATAGACAGCCGGTCCTCCGCCGCGCTCACCGTCACCCGGTGCTCCACGCTCTTGTATGCCGCGTTGCTCAGCACCTGCGGGCGCGCGCGCACGCACATGCATCGGTATTTTAGTGTCACTCTTGTAAGTTGTAACTGCTGGCTTTAGTTACGCACAGAACATGTGCAAACGTGACAATACATGTATATATGCACCGAAGGTACATGCAATTAATGGTGCTACGCATACTTGTAATTAAAATAAGCTGTCAATATAATATTGAAAAAGTACTTATTATTAGTGCATGTTAGGGATGGACTTATAATATTGCTTAAGACTTGAATTACCCAAAACGACAGAGTTTGGCCGACTGATATGATGTAAATCTATTAGGGTAGCTTCGACAGTGTAAAAATAGATAGCTCATAGAATAGGTTACTGAGTTAGAAGGAATATGATCTTTTGGTTCACAGTGGTCAGTGGAATGCTAGCGACAAGAGAGTTTGAATGGTCAGCCAAAAGCAAATAATTCAGATAATAGTTATCCTGTTCAATCTTCAGATGGATGGAGAAAACGGAGGCGCTGATTCTAGTCCCACGTGCGCGGACACACGCTTTTGTAAGCGAGCGAATGGTTCTGCAGGACCTCTCGCACAGACCAGCTGCTTTATATTTGATCTGTACTGTAATAGCGACGGCACATCAATGCAAATCCAAGGAGAGAACCGTCCAGTACAAAGACACGGTACGTCTCTCTGGCCTGGCCAGTGCACACAGACGGACAGACAGGCCTGGGTCAAGCTAGAAGACAAAATAGCAAGGAGTAGGTGTCTCCCTCCACTCTCACCTTTCGCCCTGTTCGTTTGCTTATAAGGCATATTTTTTCGATCAACGAATAATATTTTTTTCACAATAAATTAGTCAACAGTACTTTCAGCCATGCCTTATCAGCCAAACGAACAGAGCATTTATTCACTTGTGCATGCTGTGCACAGTGTATACACAGCAACAGCTAGAATCTTTATAATATAACTATACACAGTATTATATTTTCCCTTTAACTAGGAGTATAGCAAATATAAGCCCGGTGTAAATCAAGGAATATGAGAACACGAATCATATTGGGGTCATCAACAGGACATTTTCCCTAAGGAAAAGAGCAAGTTTGCTTTTACTCCATCATTCTTAAAATATAAGATGTCAAAGCAATTTTAAGACCAAATAAGTAGTATGACAAAAGACTAACTCATCCCTTACTAATTAGTTAGTAGTGAATGTTAACATGCTTAATTTTCTAGTAACGCATGGTTTAAAAAGGTAGACATGCATGTCACTACCAATTATGCATTGGTCATTTTAGGCAAGATGGTGTTTAAAAGGTAGGCACACATGGATGAGCAATCTAGAATACCTTATAATTCGAGATAAAATTTAGCCTTTTAATAATAGCTTATATTTCAGGCCATGTGTTCGTTAACAAAATTTAGCCTTTTTTAGACTATGGGAGGAGTTAACAAAGTCTCTTACTAATAGCTAGATAAGGACATGTGTTCGATCCCTTATTATCCCTAAAATAAAATAAATGGTCCAACATTTTTAAAACACTAGCACAAGTTGCCCTGGGATTTGTGAGGTCCATGCATAAAACCCCCTACTTTTCATGGGAACCCGTCCTTTTGTCGCAAATCTAGAGTCCTGACACAGTCAATCAGATACGTTCGGGGATCGACGCTCTGTCTCGGTTTTGAGGCGCTTTTTTTCTAGATGCTGACGTGCTGGTCCAGGACACGTGTCGACGTTTGTTGCCGACCTGTACGTTCGCGCATATTTCTATTGTTTTTCAGTGTTTTTGTCTTTATATTATTTCTGGATATATCTTTGCGGCTTGCACTTAGATGGGTGCGCATGCGGTGCAACGTCGTTACACGTATCTCTATGAAATCTAATAACAGTTGTGTATTCCGTTTATTTTCTTTGCCACACCAGACATGATTTTTTACTAGACTAGAGTGACATGTCCAAAGTGAGCCGTAGTACGTATATGTCACGTGCACATATGCACGACCATTAAATATTGTTGTGTATCGATATGGATACGTACCTGGATCTGGTCGCCGACGTTGACGATGAAGGCGTCGGGGACGGGGTCGACGATGATCCACTCGCCGCCGGGGCTCCTTACCTGCAGGCCCTTGACGTGGTCGTCCACCAGCAGCATGGTCATGCCGCCGGGGTCGGAGTGCCCCGCCACGCCCAGCGTCAGCTCTGGCTGCGGGCACCGCGGGTAGAAGTTGACCCTCAGGCACGCCCCTTCGCCACCCTCTCCGCCGAACGCCGCCTGCAGTCTTCCGGCCTCCAGCCCCAGCCCGCCGGAAAGCAGCCGCATCACCCTCCGGCACAGCTGCAGCACTTCCTCGCCGTACTCCTCCGTCGTCCCCCTGCAACGACCATGCATGCATATGTCCCGTGCGAGCATGAGACCACAAAACTACGGCCGGTAATACGGTGTGCTTGGATATGTAGAGCGTGCGCCGTGTTCAGTGTTAGTTTACCGTAGAGAGGAAGGGAGGGAAGGCCACTTTTCGTGGCTCTTGAGCGACGGCGGCAGGAGGTGGAGGAAGTAGTAGTCGCCCCAGTCGAGGGGGCCGCCTTTGGCGGTGCCGAGGCGGCTGCCGTAGCCCTCGTACGTCGCCGGCGAGTTCGCGTAACGCTCGCGCACCTCCGCGGGCTGCCGGAAGAAGCCACGCCACGCCGCGCGCGCGCCGCGCAGCAGCTCCGGGCGGACGCCGTGGTTCACTGCCTGGAAAAAGCCCCACTCGCGGCACGCCGCCGCCACAGCGCGGGAGGTCGCGTCCACGTCTAGCATTGACAGGTCTACGACTGGGATGTTCGGGCCGCCGGCGCCGCCGCCGACGCCATCGGAGGCTGGCAAGAGCCCGGGCCGCTCCGACAGAGACTTCATGTACCGCTCGGGGATCGTGTCGCCGCAGGTGTCCGACACAGCCTGGACGCGCACCACGGGCTCCGGCCAGCCGGCGCCGCCGTTGAAGCAGCTTGTCATCGGATCGGAGCTGCTGGCTTAAGACAAGACGCCCTATTGTGTGCACAACTTGTTACGCTTGCACACGCATGGCATTTGATGATATATGCTAGTTGCAATTGTACATGATGGTCCAGCTGAGATGAATGGTAATACCATGTTTTACCCCCTTTTATAAAAGGAAAAGGAAGAGACATTGTTGTGTTGTGCCTTTGCGATCATCATTGGAGTGTTGAATATAAAATTTCAACTAGTGGGCTTGAAAGCAACATGCATAGCTAGGGAAAATATAGCACGTGCTCAAAAACTTAATAGTGGTACAATACGAAAAAAGAATTAGCTCTGTATAAGGTAATTATGCTAGCAAGGATTTTGTGGTCACAGAGGTACCACACTGCACTCCTGTTGCAATTTGTGCACTTCATCTAATCATCACAACTATAGCCACAGTAGGATTTTTGTTAGTCAACGTTTTTTCTTTGACAATCTGCTTTTCAGATTTCACATATACTGGCAACATAACTTCTTTTCATTTCGAAGCGTGACCTAGAGTCACAATTATCTATATATCTATATCTATTATTACAAAGAGAAAAATTATCTCCTTCAAATTTGTGTTCATCACACTCTCCACCAGTCCGCCCGTCCCTCCACTCACTCGAGCATAAGAGTCCCTCCACTCACAATTATCTATATATCCCGTCCGTGATGCAAACTCATGATTCGTGCTAATATGAGAATAGATATGTGTCTAATCATCACCACTGGAAAACTGGACTTTGCCGAGTGTCTGAGACTTTGCCGAGTGCTTTTTATCGGGGCACTCGGCAAAGCAATATTTTACCGAGTGCCGCACTCGGCAAAATAAAGCACTCGGCAAAGGTGGCTTTGCCGAGTGCCAGGCACTCGGTAAAGCCTGGCTCTCGGTAAAACTGGGCTTTGCCGAGTGCCGCGGCACTCGGCAAAGATCCCACTCGGCAAAAGGTGGTCGGCCCGTGATGGCGGCCACCTGCCGTCAGATTTTGCCGAGTGCCTAACGGCTGGCACTCGGCAATTTTTTAAAAAAAAAAAAACTTATTTTGCTGAGTGCCAGCCCCAGGCACTCGGCAATTTTTTTTATTTTTTAAAAACATATTTTGCCGAGTGTAAGCCTTGGGCACTCGGCAATTTTTTTTTAAATTTTTAAAAACTTATTTTGCCGAGTGCCAGCGCCAGCCACTCGGCAAATTTTTTTTATTTTTGAAAATCAACTTTGCCGAGTGCCCCCTGGGCCGGCACTCGGCTGAGTGCCCCCCATGCCACTCGGCAAAATATTTTTTTTTATTTTGGGCCCAAATTTTTTTCTGGGGCCTTGTAACAGTATTTCAAACTCTATTTTAAAATTTGGGGCAATTTTGACTTTTTTTTATATATTTCATTAGTTTATTTCGTTTCGTCGAATTTTTCGGGATATTTCAAATTTGAACTGCAGGTACATGAAATAATGGATTTTGGTCATCCAAAAATTGATACTCATAATATTTAGCGTATGTTTAGGCCGTATCCAGGAACTCACATGAAATCTCGAGCATCTCGTTGACGTAACATGTCGAGGTACTTGCTGGAAATGTGATTTTAAATTATATAAAATGCAAACGAAGTCCGAAAATCACGAAACTTATCGAGGCATCGTGTTATCGTATGTGGAGGTTGTGGTAAAAAATTGAGAAGGTTTCGAGTAAACTGTGATGTCAGATGCTAAAAACCCAGACATCTCCACATGTGATCGCTATGCTAAAGGAAGCAGACCAGGAGCGCATCAAGCATGTGCTGGAGGACGTGAAGCAATAGATGAAGACTTTCAAGCCTAGCATTAACATGGTGGAGATCTCGGATGTTGGCGAAATCTAGATCCTTTAGTGTTGTTAAGGAGTTGCAATCTGGTGTAGACTTTTGAGGCCTTCTGTTGTCTTTCGTTTATCTAGTTCTGTTATGGCCTTGTGTGGCTTATCCTGGTAAACTGGTAACCACAGTCTTGTATCGAATATTTGCCATTTAACTTTTTGTTCTCCGTCTTTACGCCATTATCCTTATGTAGTGTTGAAAACATCTGCCCTATTTGCAACCATTCCCTTTGCTTTTTGCTTGCTAATAATCGAAGGAAAAATCCATACTAGGTCCGTAACCTCAAAATGGGCCTCCAAAATCGGGCCCAGACCCATTCAGAAAAGCCCACATCTGTACCCTGTCCTTGCCGGCTCCGTCGACCGTCTCCCGGTGGAAGTGAAAGGGCCTTCGGGCTTCAGCTCGAGAAGATGCTGCGCTGGCGTGCCGTCCTGCTCCTCCCACTCCCACTCCCTCCGCCGCCTCGCTTGCTTCGCCGCCTGCCGCACCCGCGTGCCCTCTCGTCCTCGTCCTCTTCCCCGCTCCCGCCGCTGGGGATGGAGGCTCACTGGAATCTCGTTTTTTTTTTTATGTGTGCGAAAACACATAGAAAAATGCGAATACCGTCAAAAAAATATTTTTCTGACGGTGTACTCTCAGAAAAACATCCACAGAAATATAATGACAGAAAAATCAAATTTTTCTGTGGGTTCACCGTCAGAAACAATTTTTCTGTGGGTCTCACACGCATAGAAAAATTGTTTTCGCCCAGATTAAAACTAATTTTTCTGTGTGTTAATCCACACAGAAAAAAGAAATAAACGCACAGAAAAACACGTTTTTTTTCTGTCGGTCCAGGTGAACTCACAGAAAAATTCATTTCGCCCAGATTAAAAATAATATTTCTGTATAGCCAGCCTCACAGAAAAAAAGAGTTAAACGCACAAAAAAAATTATTTTAAAACAGTAGCAACAAAATATTAAAATATATATTTTTCATACAGTAATTTCTGTGCATGACCAACAAGATTTCATTCAAATAATACACAAATACAGTACTCAAAGGGACCTGCTATTATATAAAAGAAACGAAGCATTACTGATGGACCCGCTAGCAAATGAAAGAGTCAAAGAATTAACTGCTGCTGTGAAAGAAAATGTCACTCAGCACTCCATCACCATCTGTTAATCAAGAATGGAGGTGCTGGGCTTGAAGTTGAACGCACTGCAGAAAATAGAACAAGAAATTATAGAAGGGATGCAAAGATATAAGTGTACAGAGAGATTTGAGCATGCCGAAGCAAAGAAGATAAAACAATCATGACAGGAGATCATTTCTTTTGAACAAGTTCCTCAATTTATTTGTGACCCCAAAGATTATGGTGTCATCATTTCAAATGTCAGGAAGGTAGTGCTACTAATAAACTCATGCAAAACAGTTCAAGTGAAAAAATGTAGAGAGATGATTAAAGAAAACTATTTCTACAGGCTCACCACGTTAGTGTGCTTCTATAGGTAAGTTCAAACTTCAAAGACTAGGACACTCTTAGCCTGAACACATTAACATCAAAGCACACTACACCATTGATTATTACTGCAAATAGTGACAAAAACTCTGCCTACTAATCAAAAGAAACTCTCTCCATTATTCATGTGATGCTACAACTTGTCTTCTGAATTGTTGTAAAATACAATTGCTGTAGTAAACAGCACTGTTAAGCCCTGAACCAAATTTACCAGCTAGTACAAGTAAGCTGTGTACACCCTATACACATGCAAGCTGTCAAACATAGATGTTTATAGATATACTACATATATTATTGGTACCATATATTATTAGTAGCATAACAAAAGTGACTAGAGTTGTCTCACGAGTGACGACAGCGACATGTACATAATTCAAAATATCTCGGTTTCAACTACCAGGCCGTCGAAACTCGGAACCAGTGGACACTAACCTCAGTACTTTTATCACTCCAAGCTGCTTTGATCAGTAGCCTAACCTCAAAAAAAACAAAGTACTAGTAAACTAGACTTAGCTGCTACTAGTAGATAGTTACTCAGTACTCACCAAGTTGAAACAAAAAATCCGAAACAATGAAACGAACTGGAAGGATCATAGAAGGACGTATTGGATTTGGATTCGATGGCTCTAGGCACAAAATAAACTCTCAGAAATAGTCGACCTAGAAAATATATGGAGATAGGGTGCCAAATCTAGTAACAAGGACCGAAAGGAAAGCAGATGGATGGGGTGCCAAATCTGGTAACTAGAGCAGCCAAAGAAACAATCCTGGGAGACCCCTAAGGAGACCGGATGAGAGGGGTCCACCTCCACCAAGACAACGGTTTGAACTAACAATAGAGGAGAAGAACATTCTTCTAGAAGTTGAACCCATAATATTACGTGTGAGAAGTTGAGTAATCTTGAGTGGTTTGTCACATGAATGCAATAACAGAAAGCTAACATGGTAGAATGGGCAAGTTTTCTTATATTAGAAAGATGTCTAAAAAAATCTATAGACCAAAATAATAATAAGACAGTGCAAAGAAACAGATCAGTTATATACTAGCACAGATCAGTTATATACTAGCACAGAGTAGTGATGATATCTCAAAATAATAATAAGAAGAAGAAAAAACAGGTCACGAGCGCATGGCATGTAGCCCACGTACACAAAATACCAATAATAAGATGGTGATCAAATGATGTAGTATTCAACACATTGGCCTCAGATATCAGTTGCTTCTCGATTGACCTTGAGCTTGGAGCATAAGAAACAAACAGAGTAAGAAACAAAGTTCCAGTACCTCAACACAAGCTCAAGGTCATCAGTTCTTGGCATGCTTAATATGATATCATCATTGGCAAAGTAAGTGAGGCCTCAGCTTAACGATATGTTGGTACAATTTCCAGATACTCAATCATAGGTGGCTGCCAAGGCAAAAAAAAACAGATAGAAGAAAACTAAGATCATGTCCCATGGTTTGATGGCGAACCATGAGAATCATCTGAGAATGCACAAAAACAAATTGCGCCACCGAGAGTTTATTTTTCATGTTGCATCATTGGCCAAATAGATATCAAGAGTTTGAACATCACAGTCATATCAAGAGATTGAACATCAGTGTCATAAATTCTAGATGCTTTAGCACAA